TTACCTTGGATAGGTGCATGGTCCACATCTAATCGTTCTGGAGAATGTAATATAAAACCATTTAAAGAAAGAAAATAAGCATTTAGCTTCTTGAATTTGAAAAATGGAAGGTAAACMTATGTGCAAGGTTTGTGTGACTGGAGGTGCTGGTTACATTGGTTCAGCCTTGGTTCACTCACTTCTACAAAATGGTTACACTGTTCATGCTACTCTTAGAAACTTGGGTACGTATAACCTGCCCTTTCTTTGTATCTTTGTGTGTTTATGTGTGTGAGTATTTACCATACTAAGAATATGTGGAACCTCATTATATTACTTTACCAAAACGCCCTTTTGAACTAAAGAGAGAAGAGAGGTTCCAACACTGTGTATGTCGGCATATTAACTTGTTTGTGTTTTTGTTTAATTTAAAGGTGATGAATCGAAGGTGGGACTTTTGAGAGGTTTCCCATATGCAGAAGAAAGACTTCATTTGTTTGAAGCTGATATTTACAAACCACAAGAGTTTGAAGAAGCAATACAAGGTTGTGTGTATGTTTTCCATCTTGCAACCCCCATCTATGACACTTCTGGCTATAAGGTGTGACATTCTTGAATTTTACAACCAATAATCAAGATTCCCATAGCCYTAAAAAGAAATCCATTTTCTAATGATTTTGTTGGTTGATAGTACAATGACAAGATTGAGGCAACAATCAGTGCRGTAAAGAAGATTGCGGATGTTTGCATACARTCAGGGACAGTGAAACGGCTCATCTATACAGCATCCGYTGTTGCAGCTTCACCATTGAAAGATGATGGGAGTGGTTATAAGACCACCATGGATGAAAGTTGTTGGACACCCTTTCATATCAGTSTCCCTTACAGCAATGATATCACAAAGGTTTTTATCCATATCTTTGYATTTTTCTTGATTAACAAGTTACATTTCAAAATTTCCAAATAAGTGGAGGGTTTTTGTTAGGAATACACAGAAGCAAAAACAAAAGCTGAGCAAGAGATCTTGAAAATTGGGGAAGATAAAACAAATGAATTGGAGGTGGTGACATTAACTTGTGGGGTGGTGGGAGGAGGAGGTCATCTCACATATGCACCAACAAGTSTGATGACATTSATATCACAAKCTCATTACCAAATACTAAGGTACCTTGAAGAACTGCTAGGRAAAGTTCCCATTGTGCACCTTGAGGATGTTTGTCGAGCACATATCTTTTGCGCAGAGACGCCACTAGTTAATGGGAGATTCTTATGCTCGAGTTCRTACATAACAAGTGCAGAAATGGTCAAGTATTATCAGGAAAACTACCCACAGTTTCCTCTKAACCAAGAGTAAGATATTTTATCRTAGACTTCAAGTCGAAAATGAATTTATTTAGTTGAAACTTTGTRATTTATTATGAGWTCTTGTTTCAGGTACTTGGAARGAGCTRGGACAGAAATCAAATGGGGCTCAACAAAGCTTGAAGATAAAGGGTTTTCTTACAAACACGATACCAAGACGATCTTGGATGATTGTATCGAATATGCAAAAAGATTGGGAAATATCTAGC